ATCCTGTTGATAGCGGCATGCAGTGCGATGAGTGCAAAGGTTGGTACCACGATGTTTGCACGAATCTAACACCTGCAGCTTTCAAGCGGTTCAGTAAAAATGGGTGCGTATGGCTATGTCAACAGTGCTGTTTGGATGCAAATAGCCTGTTAACCGAGGCCATTTCAATAGTAAATGCCGCAAAAAAGTGTCTCGGCAAGCGCGGTCGGGATACATCAGTCAGAACTCAATCTGTCGACACGCAGATTGACACAAGGCAGGCCCAAGTGAGTCCAAAAAATGCCGACCCACATTCTACTAAGGAGGAAGAACATCCTCCAAAGAGGTCTGTCACAACCAGAAACTCGCGCAAAGAAGTCTCTTCTGTCCCTCGTATCAAAAATGGTACCCAGAAGGGAACTTCCGGAAGCCGAAACCGCAAGGCTCGATCGGTTTCCAGCGCGAAAGATGACCCAATCTCCCAAGTCGTCTTGAACCTTCCGGAATCTCACAGTACGCCTGACGCGACTGTGGTTACCACTCCAAAGAACGTTGGCGATTGGGTACGGGTCGTAAGAAAAAAACGCCAAAATGACTTAAAAGGAAATCATACCCCCACCAAAAGGGTCGACAAGCCGAGGTCTGATCACAGCGACAGATCAGTCATTCTCCATAGAGTCAAGGAGAGTGACAGTTTAGAACTGAAAGCTCGTTTTGAGCATGACATCGTGTTGATAAAACAACTACTCAACCAAGTTATGCCCAAAAACATCCCCGGAGTCACCTTGCTAAAGGTGTATAGACTAGGAAATCTAGCGCATCTGAAACCAAATCAGTCTAGACTACTCAAAGTCGTTCTCAAATCCCCAAACGAACGCGACTTAATCTTAGAAAATGGACACAAATTAAAGGGTTCAGGAGTTTTTCTCCGTAAGGACTTACCGTTGGCGGACCGTGTTAAAAGACGGGAAGCCGAAAAGGAACTACAGCTCAGATTAGACGCTGGCGAAAAAGACTTGAAAATTGTAAGTTTTCGGGTTGTGAGGCTTCGACAGAGGATGATGCCGAAGCCACTCTGGGTGAAGCACGAGGCCACCTAAATAGGCTTCGAATCTGTTATACCAACGCCCGGAGCTTACTAAATAAGCTACCGGAACTAGGTGCACAGGTTGACTCAACTAGGCCAGACATAATCGCAGTCACAGAAACATGGCTGACGCCGTCTATAGATAGTAGGGAACTTGATTTCGAGGGTTTTACATTGGTAAGGGCCGATAGAATACAAAAGCGTAAAGGAGGGGGAGTAGCTCTATTCATTAGGAATGCTATTCCATTCACCATTATCGACAGTGTATTCCATGAGATTGGGACGTATGAATTAGTTTGCTGCCGCCTGAAATGCAGGGGACAAGAGTTGCTACTTAGTTTGATCTATCGCAGTCCAAGCTGTTAGGCAAACGAGGTCCTGCTAAGCAGTCTCAACACTTTGTCACGAAGTGATCGATGTCTAATCCTAGGGGACTTTAATGCACCCACGGTGGACTGGGAAAATCTGCGGACTGAATCGTCAGCAAATTCCTTTGAACAGGAATTAGTTAATGCGGTAATCACATGTTCCCTAGTGCAACACGTGAAGGAAGCAACCAGGTACGACCCGGGTTCTGCATCATCCTTACTAGATCTTATATTGACCCATTATGAGGATGATGTTGCAAACCTGGATTACATGCCACCCCTAGGCAAAAGTGATCATGCAGTTTTAAGCTTTGACTTCCATATAACTGTCGATCACGAGTACGCTTCAGCTCAATCCAGACCTAACGTCTGGAAGGCAAACATACCAGACATCATGAAATCAGCATAATTAGTAGATTGAAAAATAGACCCAGAGTCATCAATCGAAACGGCTTGGGACGTATTACGGAATTTATAATTAAGTTACCGCCCCCACATCCCTTGGACTACACCTAAGAGACCGAGAAACTCCCCACCGTGGTTCAGTAGGGAGGTTCGCATCCTTCTCCGTAAAAGAAGGAAAATATAGAACAGATTTAGGTTACTAGGGACTGACGAGGCAAAATCTCAGTATCAAAAAGCTCGAAACACCTGTGCCTCTACCCTCCGTAAGGCCAGAAAGCTGTACGAAGAGAAAATCGTTAGGGAATCCATAGAATGCCCTAAACGCTTGTATTCGTATATAAACCAAGGACAAAAAGAAGAAGAAATGTTCCTTCACTATGGGGAGACAGTACTGCCACATTAGTGGAGGATGACTTTGGCAAAGCTCAAGTATTCTCTAAATGCTTTAGCGATGTATACACCATAGAAACACCCTTCTCACCAGTTCATGAAAATCCCCTCACACAAGCACTGGACAGTGTAACCATTAAAGAACTCGATGTCTTTGGTCTGCTAGTTAAGCTTGACATAGGTAAATCCACTGGACCCGATGAACTGCATCCTAGGTTACTAAAGGAATTAGCTAACTTTGTTGCGAACCCTTTAAGTGTATGTTTTAATCTATCCGTAACCCAGGGTCGTCTACCAAAAGACTGGAAGAACGCCATAGTAAGTCCAGTCTTCAAAACAGGTACAAAACATAAGCCTGAGAATTACCGACCAATTAGCCTAACTAGTGTGGTTGTTAAAATCTTAGAAAAGATTATTCGGAAGGAACTGTTGAAGTATCTCGATGAAAACCGGATCCTCTCCAAAAAGCAGCATGGTTTTAGAACAGGTTACTCTTGTCTCACAAACTTATTAGTCGCTCGTGAATGCTGATGCGCTCTTAAGGACCAAAAATTTCCTATAGACGTAGGTTACATCGATTTCAGCAAAGCTTTCGACAAAGTTCCGCATAACCGGCTGTTATATAAGCTAAGGAATGTCGGGATTGGAGGCAATCTATTGGTATGGAAAAAAGACTTCCTAGTTGAGCGTCAACAAAGAGTAAGGGTGAACTCCGAGTTGTCTAGCTGGGAAACTGTGCTTAGTGGAGTCCTCCAGGGTACAGTTTTGGGGCCAGTGTTATTCCTCCTGTACGTAAATGACCTCATTCGTTTACTATCGTCATCGGTCTTACTCTATGCTGATGATGTCAAGATATGGAGAGCGATACAAAGCAAGGGCGACAGCTTAGAACTTCAAAATGACCTGGAGAGATTATCTGAATGGTCCCAAACCTGACAATTGCCGATAAACACATCCAAGTGTATTGTGATGCATATTGGCCACGGGGGTACAGATACATACACGATGAATAACACTGAGTTACCTATTGTTCAGGCACACAATGACTTAGGCGTCATCGTCAGTCAAGACTTAAAGACTACTGCACACTGCCGTGCAATAGCCGGCAAAGGTTTTAGGACTTTATGGTCCATACGCAGGGCCTTTAGGCATCTTGACGCTAAAACATTTCTGACTTTGTATACAGTGTTCGTACGCACTAAACTTGAGTACTGTATACAAGCAGCTAGCCCCTGCCTAAAAAAGACAGTGAACTCTTGGAAAGGGTTCAGAAAACAGCAACTAGGTTGATTCCCGGAATAGCGAAGCTCCGGTATGGTACTAGACTGACCAAGTTAAACCTATTCCCGCTGTCATATAGAAGAATCAGAGGCGACTTGATTACAGTTTTCAAATTGCTTAATGACAAATTTGCACCTGATATGCCCTCATTTTTCTTGTCTTCCAAAACAGAAAATCTACGAGGACACTCCAAAAAAGTTCACAAGCCCCGAACGAACTACTTGTCAGCTGACTACCGACTTTCCCATCGAATAATCAACGAGTGGAATTCATTACCTCAGCACGTGGTTGGGGCCCCATCCGTCGACTCCTTCAAAATAAAGTTGGATCAGCTGAGAGATCATCATTGCCAGGACTAACACAGGCCATCAAGCCTCCTGTCCTTTCCAAACTGAAACTGAAACTGAATTCCCAATTGACTACCAAACTGACAGCAATAAGTACTGTCCAGTGGCTGAACTGTCACACATTTTACACCAAAAAATGGATGAAACCGTACCAAAACATCAAGTAGCAAACAAAAATAAATCATTCGGCTTATACAAACTCGTGATGTAGTTATTGGATATTGGATACATTGAAATAGGTCTGGGAAGTGGCGGTAAGAAAATCGTCGAAGGTCAGTTTGGATTTTCGGTTTTCCAATTACCTACTTCCGATGTCTAAATTGGGTCGTAAAATTATAAATACACCCAGGGCACCAAAATCTATAGGACCATACAAGTAATATGAACATCAAATCTCGATTTTGTAGCCAAGGTGTAGCTGTGAATAATACGTTATATATTTCAGGCCAGTTGGGTCTCGTTCCTGACACAATGCTTTTTGCTGGAGATGATGTTGAGTCACAAACTCATCAGTCCCTCAAAAACATCAGAGAAATAGTTCAGTCTGCTGGTTTTACTATGCGGGATGTGGTTAAGACTACTTTGCTTTTAGTCGATATGAATGATTTCGCGAAAGTTAATACGATATATGCGCAATGTAATTTTTGGTACTAATAACTCTACCCTCTTTCAGATTTTTCAGATCCATATCCAGCTCGGGCTACTTACCAAGTTGAATGTTTACCGAAAGTATGTTGTTTGTTTGAATAATTCGATAATCAGAATGGGAAAATAGAAATAGAAGCAATAGCAGTTCAAGAAGAATCAGGATCTCAAGGAAATGAAAGCCTAGAATAATCTGGCTCCTCACTTTTGTCAGGAGCTTTGCTCAGTAAAGTTCTACATTTTAGTAATGAATAAAGAAAATCGTAATTCTTCACAACTTTGGAGTATTCTTGCACGCGCAGTCAAGTGTAGTTACAAAAAAGGAAAGCCTAAATTATCTTGTAATAGGCGCTTTGAAGCTAATCATTTGACGAAAAAGGTTTTTGAAATCCACTCATTAGAACAACCTGCCGAGGTGATTGTCATGTGTATTTATCACTGAGTTTTCGTCATCCGTACAGTATTTATAACCAAACGTGTTAGGTGCGAATTAAATTTCTATTTGACCTGGAAACAATAAGGTATACCACTTGATTTGCACAGCTGAGACAATTCACAACTGGTTTGGTTGATATAGATTCGTTAAGAAAAGTATCCGTATTATCTTTCGTATTTAACCGGTATTTCTCAGTATTACAAGTAATGGTCTGTTTTAACCGAAACTTTACTTTTGTTTAGGGGAGTGTTAAACGTTGATAATATATACTGGAACGTTTTTCGGGGATAATAAGTGGTCTAAAAACGTTACGCAACGCAATAACATAAGGAATAAGAGATTCCAGGAATTTTTGTCTTGGGGGTTCTTTTTGAAGAGTAAAGTTCAGACTTGGTAAATTTGACCATTTTTAAAAGGACGTTTGCGAGCTGCTTTACTGACTCGCTAGAAGTTCACTTAGGGAATTACCAATTATGAAGATTGCTGTTTTTACATACACTTATTACCCCTCGTGGAGGAGCATAAGCCATCCACCATAAGATTACATAAGCTTACCCCTATGCATTTGAATTATATGGGTATACCAATTCGACAATACTTTCAAACCTGACTAGGTTATTTATACAAATCGAGGGTTTTTACACCCATATAATTCTATTTTAGTAAATTTGTATCCCTTGATCCTATTTTAAAATCCACGTCTCACTGATCGCAATACCTTTAGGATACTAAACTAGCTTAAGAAATGAGGTTTCTTGTCTTACAGGTCTAGTTTTGGTTAACCTAGCAAACAGACATTAATCTAAAAGTATCCTCAATAAATATTCATATTGTCTTATAAACATGTATGACCGTGAACTGGACTTTGAATAAATCGTTTACACTTGCTGCATGTTATCCAGGGATACCTAACGTTTCTATTTCTAAGAAAATGAAGTTCAGGAAATTATTTGGAAACACTAAGGTCAGTGGTAAATTAAGTGGGATTTTGGTTTCTTACTAAAAACATTTAGTTTTTTGTCACATTGGTTTGTGGTTCACTCTAATACGGTTACATGATAGTACATATTGTAGCCCTGGGAATAGTATACAGTTACATATCGGACTGGAAAGTTTTTTCATTTTAAGTCAAGTCTAGATGCCGAACAACAACAAAGACACTCTAACTGAACTCATATATATATTTACATTTGGCCACCTCATGATATTGTTGATCCACGTGTTTTTAATGTCCAAGACTTAAGTCCTTTGGAGCTTGGTCTGATTCATGTTCCTCTAGTAACTTTGCTTTTAGCTAAAATGTTTATCCGCCTGTTCCTTACTCAAATGTCTGAACTAAAATATACCAAAAAGTTTCCTTATCAGTGAAAATGTCATTTGTTTTTCACTTCGATCTTGCAGTGATCTGTCATATCTCGCACTGATTGCAAATAGTTAATCAGTTTTCTAGTTACATTCAACTTTGCGACCAACTAGCGATGTGTAAAATGTGTGAAATTTAAATGACTAATAAACGAACTTAGTACTGGACAGTTTGTCAACAAATGCCACAAATGGAGAGAGGAGTTTCATGTATGTGTGCATTTCAGTTGGTGGCCTATGGGTTAATGCACATGGCGCTCAATAAATTAAGTTCAAGATTCGCTTGGTTTGGACAGTCTCATGGTATCATTAGCTCACATAAAAAGTGTGACTCAAATTCGATTCCATTATTGGTAAACAATTTGTACTATATAACTAGTGTATTTTTGTATAACTTGGAGATATGTATTGTAATGTAGTAAGAGCAGTAATTGTTCTGTTGTAAGAACTTTAGTAAGAATTTTTGGCCACCTGAAACTCAATTCCGTTAAAAGCCAATTAATCTCTTTGAGGTTATCTAGTCAAAACTCATTACAACTATGATAAACAATTCAAGTAGTTTATGTGCAATTCTCTAACAGTAAACTGCAGTTGAAAATGGAGGGACAAATGCAAAAGAGTGCTTATATTTTCAGAAATGATTCTCAACTGTTTAAAATGAATATTTTGATCAATATTAGTTCGTTTGTGTTTTCGCAACAATACTGATGTATAATCCACAAATTAGTTCGGCAATATTTCATTTTAGTGCAAATTTCTATGTAAAGAATGTGGATTGTCTGTTGAGATTGTGAACTTGCGCCAAATGTGATGGCTGTTTTATTGTTTTGGCCAAGACCCAATTGTTAATCGGTCGACAGATTTCGTTGAGATGGCATTGTCTGTACTGCATGGTTTTATTGTGAATCATTAATTATTTTTCCAAACACCATCACTACAAAAACACGTAAGCTGCCGAAATTTCCGTAAAAGTGACTAATAGGATATCCTTTAAAAACTGAATTCGGTTGTTGTCAACACTTTCCTCCTATTATCTCAGTAATATGAAAAGACATCAGTTCATGGAAATTTAACATGTGTATAATGATTAAAAAAAGTCACTTGTGTGTCTAACATTATTGCTGTCATATGTAATAGGAAAATGAAGTTTTAATCATTGAATTAAGTTGACCTTGTAAAAGAACTCTTAACAGTAAATGGTTTACTATCCGTATTACTAAAATAGCAAAACCCAACGAGCCTGACCTGTTTTATGTTTTGACAAGCCTATTTATATCCATAGTTTACATCACGTATTAATTTTCGAGACAACCACAAAGCCAGAAACCACTGAACAGCTTTTTTTTGTAGTATGAAGTGGATGATAGTCACGCAATATTGTCTTATTTGTGTAAAATTGGAGATGTGAACCATCGTTTACCAACTTAGTAAGTAGTATAAGGTTTAGACACTCGTCTAAAGGTCTGGAGATTCTGTGTTGTATCCCTTGGGATGTCTTGGATGTACATTGTCAAGGTGTCTTGTACTTGGACGAATCAGGTATCCAGTGCCTCTTGGTTTTCAGTGTTCGTCAGTTTGTAACGCAAACTAAAAGTTGGGCGACCCTCACAAATCTCCTATACTTTTACTTCTAATGCATATACATAGCTGATCTTGTATATTAGGAATTATATTTTGACTATCTAAAGACTACAACAGATAAATCGTGGCAAAAATTTCTGTTGGGGATTTTCTTTATAAATAATTATATCTTCATGATGGCGCTTTTTGATGAAATTATAGAACACTATGTAGAGTAAGTTAGACCTACTATATTGAGGACTGAGGTAATTTTGGAAACTAAGTTTATCTACTAAATGTTCACTGTCAGATAGTTTTTCGGGTAACAGATTCAAAATGAAAGTCATTCCTGTCCTTTCAGTTTTACCGTAATAGAGATGGACTCAATGTAAGTACATAAACCTTGTGAAGGCTCTTTACTCGAACACTACCAGTCGAGTGAGAGCTTATGGCGAACTGTCGTCTGATTTTACAACCTCAAGTAGTGTCCGACAAGGCTGTCCACTATCCCCATTTTTGTTTAACTTCATTATAGACCTATTGCTGGAAATAACACTCGTCGACTGAACTTTCAGGAATTGATCTATCAGGAGGTCTACTTATCAACTTAGAATACGCAGATGAAATAGCCCTATTTGGTGAAAACGCTGACAAAATGCAGAGTCTTTTGATAGCACTGAGTAACAATGCCACAATGTTTGGGATACGTTTCTGCCTCTCTAAATGCAAATTTTTGCTCCAGGACTGAGCTGCCTCAACACCTGTACTAAGAATAGGGAGTGAAATAGTCGTACGCGTCGACAACTTATCTTGGAACTGTGATCAGCCCTAATGTGTTGGTGTCTGACGAAATCTCTGCACGGATTCAAAAAGCTCGTTTGGCTTTTGTCAACCCACGTCGTTTATCGCGTAAGCGAGATATCCGTCTATCAATAAATAGACGAGTATACCGAACAACAGTTCGTTTAGTTTTACTTTTCGGCTGCGAAATCCGGTTATTAAGGTTAGAAGATACTCATAAGTTACTAGTATTCGACCACAGATATCTTAGAAATATTGCTCGCATCTGCTGGAATCACCGGGAAAGTAATAGTGAGGTTAGACGTGGGGTATTAAGGAATGGTTGTAAATCCTTTGATGAGGTTGTAAATCTCCATCGACTGAGATGATTGGGTCACGTGTTACGCATGCCTGAACACCGGTTACCACGACGCGCAATGCTGACTAGTATTGGGGATGGTTGGAAGAAAGTTAGGGACGGCCAAACCAAAACGTGGTATCAGTGCTTGAAGTCACTAACTTGTGGTGTGAGTCATATTGGTAGACGCAGACTACTTGGTTGGGGTCCGCGCGACTATTGCAACCAATGGTTGGAGACTCTGTGTGACATGTCTCAGAATCGATCACAATGACGTAGGTGTATACACTTTTTATCTTCTCTTAAACTGTGAGATTGAAATTGCTTTATACCTTTCTTTCTACGAACTAATTCTTTCTTCTTGTATTATATCGTTATACACAATCTTTCTTTTGTATATTACTACCATTGAAGTAACTACTTCTATGAATTTGGTGTTCATCTTGTTGTGCTAATGAGGTGTGGCAACTTGGACCGATACGTATATGTTCCTGGTCCTATGTTGTAGCTGACTGTCTGAAATACTGTATCCGTTGTTTTCAGTCAATATTTATAGACTTCTTAATCGGTTATCTATAGCTAAATAATTTTCTACAAGTTCATGCGACAGGATAGAAGTCACACTTGTTTGTATTAGAAGCAATTATATTGTCTGATCACCTATATATAGATAGATTGGATAATTTTTTATAAACGTAATGTGTTATATTTGAGTGATTTGAATTCCTTTTCAAATTCTACAACATTCCATTGAGGTATTTACTTTCATATATTTTCGATTATAAATAACAGATAGATGAAAATACATTATGGTTGGAGCTTGTACCTCGTCCAGTTATTCACCAGTCAAATGATTCACTGGAGTTACCCACTATTGTTTCTTCTTTACATGTACGGATCTATAAAACACTTGGTATTGCTAAAACAACAGACTCTTGTATGAATCCATTGTTAGATGTGTTAACTGGCTTCGACAACACAGGAAATGTTCACTTATGGTTTAGTGAAATTTTATTGGCCCATAGTATGTTCCTTGATTGCCTTTATCCTGGTCTATGGAATGAATTGTATAAGAATTTTGATGATCATCCGATTGAAAACGTCTGTGAATTATGTGCTGGCATGACTGGTGCTGCTGGTTTAGCTCTTTCTTTACGTAAATATTCAAATATATTTAAAACATCATATGTGTTGATTACTGATGGTAATGATCAATGTGTTGCATCTATCTCCTCTATTATTGAGCATAATTCTAAACGCTTATTGGATAATTGCAATCTTGATCAACCTTTCCTGTTGCATATGGACGTAAAAAATATACGATGGCCAGAAGATGTAAGTTGCATGTTGTGTAATGTGATGTAGATGATTAACGAAACAATTTAACAACCAACCATGGTTTAAAGTTTTCGTATTTAATATTATGAAAAAATTAACGGGTAAGGCTTTTTAAATCAGGACAATATCTTGTTCGATTCTCAGTTAGCTAGCCTTTACCGAAACTATAACGAGATGGTGAAACTGTTTGATCAATTAAACTTGTATATTTTGCTAGTTTTCTATGTAATTCAATGCTTTTTGTGCCTCATACAATTGTTCCGGTTAATATTTTCAGTCAAATATTATACTTCAATTTATTCATATTATTAATTTCGTCGTAATACATTGGAACTTCATTGGTTGAATAGTTACAATCAGAAAATGTGGAAATAAGTTGTACTACTGTTATATTGGTCTTTGGCGATAGTTATGTTATTTTTTATTATTATGACTTGGGCAAGTCAGTTTCCTGTTTTCTGTTCATTTTCCGGATCACCAATTAGTTCCTGTTCACATTGTCAACCTATTTTGTGGAAATGTTTGTCAAATCTTCCGAGGTTTTAGTTCAAAATATTCAGAAACAGAGAGAATGTGCATGAAACACTGAATGAGAAAAAAGGTTATCTGTATTACGGATCGTTCAGAGAATACTTGTTTACAACATTGCTAAATCACCGAATAGATAAAAACTGTCTGCTCGGAAATTCTCTGTCAGTTAAATGTTCTGTATGCCTACATGTGTGCTCAAAAATGATTTTAATTTTGTGCATCATGTAATCTAGCTAAACTGTCTAACAGGCTCACCGTAGTAATAATTTCCATTACAAATTAATATTATTTGAAGAACTAATACTAATTTGGAAAAGTACGGAAATGCTCGTTCGCTCTTTAGTTTTCTGATGATTTAACAAAGCCCATCCATTCTTTTTAGGATGTTTCATGGTGGGACCGTTTCTGCAAAACTCTCTTCACTGAGATTAGAAACAAATACATTTTCCGTGCTTAGATATCCCCTCAATTCATTGTATTCGTGAGATAGTTCATTAGTTTATGAAACGTAATCCATTTCAGCTGCTTGGTAAATATTAACCACTACGACTTTGAATTACTCGATGTTTTCACGAAGCTTATCGATCACAAAGTAAGATTTGGTTACTAACGTAATTGAAAAAGTTACACGATCAGTCGTACCTGCATACGCCTGTTACCTTTCGTGGAGGAGCATAAGCCACCCACCAGCATTCTCTATCCAACTCTGTCCTGGGCAATCCTTTCCATATCTGCTTCCGATTCCCGACGCAGTGTATTCGTTGGTCTCTCTTCCGTTCCTCTTCAGGATTCCAAGTTAGCGCTTGCCTCGTGATGCAGTTTGATGATTTCCGTAATGCATGTCCTATCCGCCTTCAAAGTCTTCTCCTAATTTCCTCTTCACCTGGAAGCTGATCTGTTTTCTCCCACGGTAAGCTGTTGCTGATGATATTCGACGAGCGGACATTGAGTATCTTACTTGGGCAATTGTTTATAAATACTTGTACTTTTTTGATGATGGTTGTAGTAGTTCTCGAAGTTTCAGCTCCGTACAATAGAACTGTCTTGACTTTCGAATTAAAGATCCTGACTTTGGTATTGACTGACAGTTGTTTTGAGTTCCGTATGTTCTTCAACTGTAGGAGTGCTGCTCTTGTTTATCAATCCTTGCCTCCATATCTACACCAGATACTCCTTGTTTATCGATGATGCCGCCCAGGCACGTGAAAGTTCCCAGCTCTTTCGGAGTTTCTCCACTAAGTGTGATTGGGTTGGTGTTCTCCGTGTTATGTTTGGGGATCTTGCCTTTTCCCTTGTGTATGTTGAGGTTTACTGATACAGAGACTGCTACTACACTGGCTGTCTTGATCTGCGTTTGTTGGTGTGTATGGAATAGAAGAGTCAGGTCATCTGAAAAGTCCAAATTGTCTAGTTGCATTCAAGCTTTCCGCTGTATTCCGTGCTTCCCCTGAAATGTGGGGGTCTTCATAATCCAGTCAAGGGAGTTTCTGTACTTAATGCGGAATATTTAAAAATCATTGCCAAGAAAGCCAGAGCCTATATTTGTATGTATGAATTACAATTGATCAGCTGTTGGACAGGAAGAAGCTTTGCGAATTACTAATTTTCAACTGAACTAGTTCCGTAGTCGAAAAATCTGTTATCTTTTGTACGAAAGTTTTATCTTGTATACAAATTGCTTGATTACGTTTCTATCCTACTACATTTGATTTTTAACTGCCAAAAGTCTGTTTTATTTTTACTGTTCAATTATTGACCTGATTTTGTTTTGCATTCTTCACAGTCATCATCGTCATTGATTGCTGAGCTAGATGAATCGTTAATTCATCGATTTGATTTAATTATGGCAGCTGATTGTTTCTTTGATCAATCCTACCATTTCAGTATGTTAAATACAATCAATAGACTACTGTCTTTACAATCTGGATCAACATTTCTAGCTATTTCACCTTTACGTGGTAATAGTTTGCATAATTTTATTAATTTGGCTTATCAAATGGAGCAAACTTATAGTTGGACTGTCAAATTAATATCACCTTCAGACTACTTATCATCACAGTTTATAAGTTATTTAATTGATGAATCAAATCGTCTTCAATTTACTGACAGTGAATTAGATAGTAAAATTGGTCATTTAATTGCTTTTACACGAACTAATTAGTGTTTTACATTATGTTGGAAAAAGGAACGCTGTATCATATAATTACAATAGCTTAGTTTTTGTACTTGTAAATATTATAAATAATAAATTATATTTTCGTACTTATTGGTCGAGATTTTTGTCTGGATGTTCTTTCTGTGTATTTGAAAATTCGTATTCCTGTTATCTTGGAAAAAGAGCAAGTTACTTTACGAAGGATTATCGTCAACGCATATATATATATATATATATATATATATATATATATATATATATATATATATATATATATAACATGGTATGATTTTCAATTATGATCATGAACTGATCAATGTTAGACCGCCATTGAAAACCTGGAAGTACTGGACGGCTGTTTCACCCTAGAATGGGACTACTCAGCAGTGCGCATCCACGATCCCGCGTGCGAGACCAGACATTAATTGGTTCATGATCTCAATTGAGACTCAACAAACTCCACAATCCTGTACTGATAATTACCATGTGCTCACTAGCGACCAGCTTCGAGACGTAATTCTGCCCCTAAATGCCCTGGTACGAGTGGGGAGAGTCCGCTCTCCCTCTCGAAATGCTCTCATATGGCCACGCGTATATAGCCTCTGCCAGGGAAGTCCTACTCATTGCCTTCTCGTGGCGGGTGTGTTGTTTACGAAATTGAGAGGACGAAAAGCGAATGTCCGGCGCTTTAACCGGGTTGGTGGACACGGAGAGTCCACCTAGGTGAGTTGGAAAACCCTGATTCCAAACCAATGGTACACATGGGCTCCAGTAACCTGAGGGAACAAATGGTGTATGAATCAATCGTTGGTCACCGGCTACCATAGGACTGCATCTCCTTACGATGCTCCATTGCCTTGTGGATTAGACCTTCAAGTCAAAGGCTCGGGGTGTGGTCCCCTAAGAAAATCACCTGTTTCAGTTTGGGCAACTTGGGAAGTATCCCAGCCCTCTCACAAATCTAATGAGATTTGTGCGGCGCATATGTATCTGGTGCTTCATTGTACCAATATTTATGTGTTTAAATAAAATCTCGAAGTTCTAGTGAGAAGCCGTGACCAGTGGAGTTCGACCGTGTCAGTGTGAAGCAGTTACCTACCGATGGTTGAAGTTAGGCACTAACACCGTTGGATCCTGACTCAGTGCTCTAGAGGTTAACCGTTTTCGTACGAGACCGAGTCTCACGTTAGGGGTCGTGGGTTCGCACTACTGCGGAGTCCCATATTAGGACGGAACGGCCATCCAGTGCTTCTAGGTTTTTAATGGTCGTCTAGCATTGACCCGTTCATGATCTCAAATGAAACTCAATCTCCACCACCCTATACTGGTAACGGTACGATTTGTTCGTAGTGTTTGGTCTTGTTTTGATACTGTGTGTCTATCTTTATGTTGAAGTAAAACTATTTGAGTGTGTTTGCAAACTGACGTAAAATGATGAATAACGGTGGTGAATATGAAAGGGCCAAGACTGTTTTTATCATATCGTACTTCCATAAGATGAATCTTTTTTAGGTAAAATTTACTTCCGCAATTGTAATCACGAACTGGTCTCAGCTTGGATACCATTGAACGGCCGTTTCGTCTCATCATGGGGTTCCTCGGCGGTGCTCATCTGTGACCCCTACGCGGGAATCGAACTCAAGACTTTCCGTCTTGCGCGCGAATGCTTAACCTCTGAACTGGTATCCAACTGTGTTAATGTCTAACTTGCAAAAGTTTTGTTATGTAAAGGCTATATTATATCTGACTTCAATTAATACCTAATAGTTACCTAAGTAAATAAAATCATTTGCATGGGCCGTGGTTTGATATTTTCTCTGCATTACGCAACTTTTAAAAATAGTTTAGTGGGCATTTCGAAGTTGGTTTTCTTCAAAGACTAATACCATCTAAAGAGATTCTGAAGATCCAACTACTATTTTTCGAATTCACAACACTGCAAACTCACAACATCGTGTCAGCACCGACACATGATCTTTCTAGTTTCACTGTCTACTGGATCAGGATCCAATAATCCACATTTCCAACTTCAATCAGTCTTCGATATAACTCTGAAATCATATGGTTTCATATCATATCTGTCTGCTGAGGGATTTCTGATAGATCTGTTTTGTTTTTAGTAAAGTAAATAATAGTGACAATAACATAATTCTTCTTTTTTATTTTTAGTACTTATTTCTAGTTGTCGGTGGCTTTGCTTTGTTTGCGTCAGCTGTTTACATTAGATTTTACAAAGTAATTGAAACTTCGATCTTTTCATATTAAAATAATCTTCTTACTATTATTGGTATTGAACTTGACAGTAATTTGTAATCTGACAATGGCTTTCATCATTAACTTATACCAGTTGAAACGTTATCAGCGGCTAAAGAGTATCGAACAATTGTTTCATTCTGATTTTCCATGGTTATTCAATCAATGCCCACTCAGTAAAGAATTCGATGGATTTTCAGATAGAATTCAATTGTACATCATCGTTGGGTCACATTTCAAATCTTTAGGTGATCTACCTAACACAGGTTTAAGATTAGGGTAATGGCGCAAAAAAGTTATAGCTTATAATTTAGTGTTTAAATCCGATTGTATCGCTACTCGCTTTCTCATGTAATAAATACACATAATGCTTGAATTTATCAGAGGTAGTTGTTTGCTTTGCCAGTTCAGCACAGAAAAATAATATCACATGTATTTAAGGTTTTTTATATAAGGTGATTTCCTTGTTTCCATTATCGGTGAGTAGAACAGTGATGCGAATCAGTAGAACACTACTCATATGACCCGGTAGATAGTGCATTCACAAACTGATAACTTGGGTTTCGATACAATTTTTTTGTTTCTTATTACCTTATCCATGACAGAAGTTAGATTGCTAAAATCAGGCTAAAGAAGTTTGAGGATATTAGATTTCTTCAAGACCAGACTACTAAAGTTGAATTAACTTGATTGCGTGGTTCAAAATTTGAAAGCAACATCTTATATTTTTCATGTTGTCTTAGTTACAACTTATCATTTAGACGTATCTGATATGTTGTAGGCAATTATTATGTCGTAGTCTAAACTGTTCCATTCATTTGATCGAGTATTGGATAAAACACCAATCTATCATGAGCGATAAAATTCTCCCGAGTCATCAGGTTTCGTGCTTGTTGGCACTCGTTAGCAAGGCATAGCTATAATCTTGAGAGAAGCGATGCTCTCTTCGTGACTCGAAACCCCATTACACAGTTCCATATCATATTATGAATATTGTTATGAATTACAGATAATGTTTCAAGTGGCGTACACAGCATATTATTACCATCTAATATACATGCATCTCATCTTGTTTTTTCCCGTAGTTAACTGTTACACGACCTAATAAATATCTTTGTCCAATGTCTCAATGTTCACCACTCATTAAAAATATGTCATGGGGTTCAATTACAGTGGAAACAATATCTGAAGATGGAACAATCAATCCAAACAAGTTAATTACATACCGAGATGCAAAACTTTGGCCAAATGGTAGTCGTGCATGGGATTGGAACGAATCTGGCACTGGTCATTTTGCAGGGATTCAGAAACAGGATGTTGATGAATTACTCAGTTATAAACCAAATATTATTATACTGAGTAAAGGAGTACTATCTCAGTTGAAAGTGTCCCAATCATTAATTGATTACATAAATCAATCGAATCCACATATTAAAGTAATGGTAGAGACAAGTAAAAAAGCATTCAAATTGTATAACGAATATGCAATTCAAGGTGAACGTGTTGCCGCCTTAATACATACTACTTGTTGATAGAACTGACTTTTTATTAACGATGTTATGTTATTTTTTGTTGGCTTCCCCATTTATCATATCATCACCATATTTGAGATAGATAACTTCTTTATAGTAAGATTTATTTTGTCATTGAACTGTTTGTTTATTTTATTTCTTTGTTTGCTTAAAGAGAAAAATAACACCACGGGTATTGATTTATCATAAACTTATTTTTGAAATACCTTTTGTTCAATATGTCGGGATAATAACTGGGACTGTAGTAAAAAGAACTTCAGGGGTAGCGACAGTACCTAAACCAACGTTTTATAGATTAATAATTAAACAAGTTAAATCACAGTTTTACTTCACACACTGAGTAGTACTTTGTCCATATATCGTGTAAATGAGAAATGTGCAACTATGCTCATGTCAGCTATGAAGCCAGATTTCATCTTCTTTCAAATCAAGTTTAGTTAGATAGATTGAACAATTAATTGAATGGTTATAAGACTACGTACATGAATGGTGATTAAAGGTGGAATAAAAACATTTTTATCTTTTGGTTTTTAAGTAGTAAACACTTCAAAAAGAACTATAATGTTGATAAGCGTAAATGATACTTCATACAGCAGTAGTCTTAAGTTTCACAAAACAACAAAACATAGCCAACACCAACCTTCGAACTGGAAAAATGATCAATAAACAACAATAAATCACGGGTCAGTCTAAGCTAGACCACCATTAAAAACATGGAAGTATTAGATGGCCGTCCCGCTCCATTATGGGACTCCTCAGCAGTGTTCATCCACGATTCCACACGTGGGGCTTGAACTCAGGACCTTCGGTCTCGCGCGTGGGCAGTTAACCTCTAGACCACTGGGCCGTTCGTCCAGTGTTTACAGGTTTCAGATGGTGGTCCAGCTTAGGTTAACTCGTGAATTCGACTTTGAAAATACTATAATCTCCACAAATCTCGATTTCGATAACAATGAATCACTTGAGAAAAAAGTCTGAAAGTAACTTTTTTTTGGGAGAAGACTGGTTTTTCCTCTTAAAAAATTTATTCGATTCAAATGAGAAAAAAAGTTTATGGTAAATGAATAATACACATTGTATCACAAGTTATTTTTCAAGAAAACGAACACATTGACATAGATAGGAGAGTAATACTCCGCATATCCCTGAGTTAGGTTTAGTACGTGAAATGCAAACATATTAGTACATTGATTCTCATTGTGAAATATTCATCCATTAATGTCATAGTATAAGATAAAGGAAATTTAACAAACATTAAAAATAACCAAGATAAAAGTGAAGTATTGATGAAACAATAATTATAAATGCATATTTAATCACCAATTAACTTGTTTTAAATCAGACCAATTATTACCAATTCTCAATTTTACAGGGAGTGGGACATCGATATTGCAATGTTTACTTGTGTTAGACATTGTTTGTCGAATTAGTTCGCCGAATTGTTTAGCAGATGATTCCGGAAAAACCTGAAATATAAATATATGATATAAATGGTGAATTGATTGAAGTTGGAAGCGTAAACGGTCAGTTGTTTGCAGGTCAGGTGCTAATCATGAAGCCTAAATGTCTAGGGTTCAATCCATGATGGAGACATAGGTGCACATTATTGAGGTGAAAGAGAGCTTCTTGGATTGTTTTGTTATGGAAAGAAACAGATTATGAGGTTAAACACTGCTTACTTCATAGATTAATTCATCGTGTTCATGTAAAACAAGATGAGCATAACCAGGAATATTAGATGAATGAATTGCCTCGTCAACTGCTAACATAGCAATTTTAGCTATCTCTGATGCACTTCCTTGAATAATATTATTAACAGCTTGACGTTCAGCCTAATGAAAACACAAATCAAAGATAAATCCATTAATAAAAAAGGGAAAGAATAATCATAGACATGATTTCGATCATTCGATCAAAAATTAAGATCCAGGCACCCCCGCATATACTTCACATTAGATAACTGGGTAGTATAATTAACGATTACGGCCTGGTAAGCGCACGAACACTCCGTTATTGAAGTGTAATCAAGACTTTTTTTTACTGTTAATGATTATTATTAATGGCTTTATTCAATATTATAATCTGGTACAGTATAGAATTCTCAGCACGAGTTATTTCGACAAGCTTTTTACCAAAGAAAATCAAAACAGAAAAGAAATTAAAAAAAGGTTTAAGAAAATCTGAGTCTATACAAATTATCGAGTTTGAGACATGCTTACGAATACAGGTTATTTACTAGGTCAACTCTTACAGCCTGTTCGTCACAAAGTATGTTTGCTAGGTAAGGTATTACAGAAATTTTATAGATTTGCTTGCGTGCATGGATTTTAATGTATTTACGTCTCGTTCTACCAGAAGATATGCAAAGAGAAAGATATGAATGAAGTGGATGGTTAGTATTTGATAAGATAACACCTGCCAAGAGTTTGCAAGACTTAAGAATTCTATCCACAACCATATTAATAATGACCTCAAAAGATTCACCACACACCTTGCGAATTGCTTTCAACACTCTCCGCAAAACAGCAGTCTTTTCTCAAAAGCCCGGGAAAGAATAATGGAGAACAGTAAAGAATAAGTAATATGCAAAAATTTACAAATTGTAAGAGTAAATGGCGAGTAATCCCAAAAGCATGCAGCCTCTTTATGTAGTAAGTCAAACGGTAAGCTTTTTCGATAACAGTAAAACATGAGAAGACCAAGAGAGATCAGAGGAAAAAGTAACACCAAGATATTTGACCTTCGACACTGTGTTTATCAAGGAGTCCCCAATGGCACAAGCATTATGGGATCCCAAAATAGTGTATAGGTTCTGTCCATGTCTCAGGCTAAAGTTAACAGCCTGACGTTTAGATGGATTAAGTAAGAGACCATTATCAACAGACCACCATTCAATACGAGATAAAAACTCGTCCATTTCTATGGGATGTAAGGAGGTAGAAATCGGCATACATACAGTGAGGTCGTTCAGATATTTCACAAAAGCGTTTTCTGTAGAAGATGGAAGATCATGCAGGAAAAAAGAAAAAAGGAGAGGTGAAAGAACAGCTCCTTGTGGCACACCTACAGTAGAGATGTTGAACACTTTCATTCAAACACAGTGTACTGTTCTATTCCAGAAAGGTAGGAACATAGCCGATCGGTTATCCAGCTGTCAGTGTTGACGCTGATCAGCTTGTTAAGTAATAGGTGTCTTGGAATAGAATCAAAAGCAGAAGTAAAGTCCAGGAAAGCGCATCGAACATACTTCTTACCCTTTTCCAACCCGAACACTACATTGTGATGCAAAATAGCAAAGGCATCTAATGTGCTTCTTTTGCATTTGTAAGTAAACTGATACGAATCACTGTGCTCTTTTATTGCAGGTTGAAGTGGGAGTATCAATAATTTTTCCATTATTTTGAGGAAAGGTGAAGTTATTGCTATGGGTCTAAATCTGACATTTTTATCGCGAGATACTTTCTTAGATATAGGGATTATCTTTATCTTTCACCACATTTATGGTATGAGATTAGTTGAGAAGGATCTGTTAAAGATAGTCTTGAAAGAATAACATAGAACGTCAGCACATTTTTAAAAAAGTAGCTTTGGGATACCATCATGTCCTAAACATTGGGATGAATTAAGTGACTGGAGACATTTTCGGACATCATTTTCAGTGAAACTGGGAACACAATTATTCTTCGAACCTGTGGATATAGGGAACATGATGTCAGATGACTGACGTACAAAAGACTTATTTAAGTCACAAACATTCAGTTGCTTATCGCTTCTAGTCTGCCTATCCCCAGTAATTTCTTTAAAAAGTTTTCACATACTTACAAGATAGGAGTTTCTGAGTAAACATAGAGTTGAGACGTCTAATCTCTAGGTTTATTTGACCATTTAACTTACGAACTTCAATAACACGTGATAACGTCAGTGGTGTTTTCTAGTAAGTCATCTGTAAATAATTCCCAGTTAGTCGTACGAAACATGTTTTTCAGATTTTGTATATTTTCTTCTGAGTAATTCCTATATATGACTTTTTTGGTGTGTTGTAAGTGTGTACTCTCTCCATGTTTGCCATATACTATAGGTAGAACACGAATTATACAGTGATCCGAGCTAGACAATGGAGCACGTTTGCGAGTCACATGTGTACGCACATCATTAATGAAAACCAAGTGTAGATGGGCATTCAAACGAGTAGGAAAATCCACTACATTTAGGTGACCTAGTGATGTAAGGAAACTAGTTACATTAATTGAAATCACCACATACAACTGAAAGTGAACCACTGAAGGCAGTAACGGCGAATTCAGCAAATTTATCAGCAAAGACAGATAGCGCAGGTGATGTGCAGTCTGGAGTCATGTAGATGTTAGTAACGTAAACACATTTTTATTTATTCAAGTGTTTTGAACGGCGTCTTAAAGTTAGACAGTCGATAAAGTCATTTGAAAACTTGAAACAAGCAAAAGTAGATTGACACCGGTTAACGTTTACAAACGTAACTATACCACCGCCACAGCTCTTCTTATTGCTTGGTCGATCCTGACGATAGATATTGAAATCACGTAGTGATACTAAGCAATCGTTTTGTAGATCAGTTAACCAAGATTCATAAGTTGTGATAACGCCACAATTACGATATATGTTTTGACTTAGTATGAATTGGAGATAGTCCACCTCATTAATCAGTGATCGGTAGTTAGGATTTAGCAGCTCGGGAATCGACATTTGATTAGTGTTTATTCTCTTTAATGCATATTGTCAACCACCACGATGTCTCTTATTGTACTTGTTTGTAATTTTTGTAGCGAAAGGACGTAAGCTTTACATAAACGCGCCTGTATAGGTTATGCGATTAATAGACATAATGAGATATTAAAACAAATTTAAAAAAACAAATAACTTGTTGAAATATTTAGATAGCAGAAACAGGTAGCCCAGGTATTCAAGCAGGCCGCCAGACGTTTGATTAGCCAATCAAAAAACAACCGTTTGAAGCGAGGGTA